TCACAACGGATCAAGGAAGGAATTTCGAAAGCAACCTATTCCTCAAACTTCTTCAAACTATGGGAATACAGAAGACGCGTACAACAGCATACCATCCTCAGTCAAACGGAATAATCGAACGATGGCATCGTACATTAAAGACTGCACTCAAAACTCGTTTATCTCAACATACAAAGTGGATTGATGAGCTACCTACAGTGCTACTCGGACTACGAGCAACACCGCGTGCAGACACTAGTCTTAGCGCCGCTCAGCTAACCTACGGCTGCAGCATAAGGCTGCCGTGTGACTTCTTCAGTTCAGCAGCGTCAAACAAACAAGAAATGGATTACGATTTCGTAACTAAACTTCGAGAATCAATTAACAAAGCCTTATCGTTGAAATGCACCGAAATGCAATCACACAGAAATAATAAATCAGTATTCATTCACCAAGATTTGAAAACATGCAAACAAGTTTTTGTAAGAAACGACGCAATGAAAAAACAATTTCAACCTACCTACGATGGACCGTATAAAGTATTAGAGAGAAATAGCAAGACTTTTAAACTACAAATACCCGGAAGGAAATCTACGATTATATCGATCGACCGACTAAAGCCTGCCTATATTATTAACGAGGATACTGCAGAGGATTCATCATCATCATCAAAACCACCAGCGAGGAAGCTTGAAACTTCATCATCTACATCAACCCAGTTGAAACCTATTTTGAAAACTACGAAATACGGGCGAGTCGTCAAGCCTCCGGTACGCTTTCGCTGGGGGGAGAGTGATGTAGCAGCCAGATTAATCAAACCTAAACGGGAATAAATAAGATATACTCCGCTGCTACCATAACGCGGAAGGCGAGAATAAATAAAAAAACATTTTATTTCCTAATTATTCTTGGCTACTGAGATACTGCGGACTGTATATAGATAATTTGACGTTCTTATAAAGAAACAAGAAGCAGCCGCAGATATCATTCAGCGCCACACCGACTTCACACGCCGCAATCGTCACGTATCCGTCGACCAATGGTGAGCCGTTTCTTCAACGCCGCAGTTCGTTTCCTCTTGCTGTTCCGGAGCTGTATTCCACACCGCCGCCGCCCGCCGACTACGCGTGCGCACCGATCTGCATGTCTTATATAGCCCGGTCCAGCGACGTAGCTTCGTGAACAACAAACAAGTCTCACGCCGGGAAACGAAACGTAGATAATTGTATATTTTAAATAGTTTTCATTGGTCATAAAATAAGCAATATAATTGGCTATGCAAAATATTAATTGTTACCATTGGCAAATCAATAGTGAGCCAGCCATATAAATATAGGCAAGGTTGATGCAAAAGATATTCCATTCCGAATCCCATTCGACAGTACAGTCTAAATTCATACTCCGCTTTGCTTATAAACAGTAGTTTCATTTCTCATCTTAAAGAAAACCACTCGGAGTCTGTTAATAGTGGACAGTTCGTCTCCACTATTACACTCCCTTATAAATCAGTGAGTGAAACGTAGTCGAGTTTTATATGGAATTAGGCTGAGACTTCTTATGGGATACGCACATATATTTAACACATCCTGTAATCCAAATATATGTCTTAAATTTGATTTAATCCTTTATATGTGCACTTCTGTACCACATTTTATTGTAATATGTTATTACATGTTTCCGTGACATAAGTTACAATTAAAATTAAAATGTTAAGTTGTGCTTATTGCTATTATAATTTTAACTTCGTAATTTACGCATTCATACAGCACATCATAAACAATGGATGCTGAAATTAGACCTGCCTCATATATTGGCTTTCACATGGAGACGTTTTCTACAGTTATCACTTTGCTATAAACTGCTGTCATCAAAAAGAGTAGTTTTCAAAAATATGCTCTTACTTATCGTCTATATCAGTTTCCCTACATCGCCTTAACGGGAATAATGGGATGATATAGCGTAGTAGATACTCTTACGCTGCAACTACACGGTAGTATATTATAATTAATAATTTGCTCAACTTCTTATCTCAACTTGCAATAAGCACTGGATACCAGCATGAAAATAGCAGCTAGAGAACGTTGCTGGTTATACTATGGTGGTTGATAAAAACCGGATATCGTTTTACCGGTAATGAGGTATTTTATTTTTGTATTCAAAGGTAATAAAATACATTCATTTTGATTCTTGATCAAAGATCTTATAACAATATTATACGTGATAGAGCGATTCTGCAATTATATTAGAAGTATAGTTGTAGCACGAATGGGTCGGCTTGACCGGGGAAGGACCACGCTCTCACAGAATACCAGTGTGAAATAGTAGCTTAATTCTGCTGTGTTTCGTATTGTGAGTGTAGAGAACCAGAGACCCTTTTACTGGAAAGGAGGCATTCCAGCTTAGTCCTCGCTGGTGACAACGCATCTGCATTTTGATTCGTCATCGAGGATAGATGTAGATGCCTATGGGCCGCAACAACTACTTACCATCAGATAGACTCTGTGCTCGTTTGTAACCCTATCCTATATTAAAAAAACCGGCCAAGAGCGTGTCGGGCAACACTCAGTGTAGGGTTCCGTAGTTTCCCGTCCGTCACAATAAGTGTTCCCACTTATGAGTTTAAAGGTGGGTATCCATTATGTTCGCGCTCCAGCAGTGCTCCGCGATCCTGTAACTGCTCCCGGTAATGGGTACTGTTGTTTTCATCCAACTTCAAAATGTTTTTCCTAGAAAGTCCTTATAAAGTTCTACTTTTCAGATTTTTTTTATATTTTCTAAACTTATGGTTCAAAAGTTACAGGGGGGTACACATTGTTTTTTACCTTTGGAGCGATTATTTCCGAAATTATTGACATTATCCAAAAAAAATGATTGTAGTAAATCCCTATTTATTTTTAAATACCTTTCCAACAATATATCACACGTTAGGGTTGAAATTAAAAAAATATCACTTCCCACTTTACATAGAGGGGGGGCTACCCTAATAAAAAAATTTTTTCCAATTTTTATTTTACCACTTTGTCGGCGTGATTGATACACATATTGGTACCAAATTTCAGCTTTCTCGTGCTAACGGTCACAGAGATTAAGCGAGGACGGACAGACGGACAGACAGACATGGCGAAACTATAGGGTTCCTAGTTGACTACGGAATCCTAAAAAGATCGATGTAGGTATATGGATTAATGCATCATTTTACCATCATATGGACTGTGCTCTCGTTTGTCACCGTAATGAGCCACTAGGTGACAAGACCTTTCTTCAGCTTAAGAGCTCATAAGGTTATTGACCATCATGTTATCCTTTGACCATGATGAGTTCCGATCTAAAGGTATTTATGGAATGTCAATATAATTGCAAGCTGTGAAGCATTTTGATTAGCACTCAGAAGTGATAACGCACCTGTAGCTTTCTATGTTCGAACCAAAACAAACTTTTTACTGCACGTTAAGTTTGTTTGTGATTCTTGTTTTTAAAAATAAATATTTCTATAATAATAACTGTCGATAACGTCCTGGCACTTTTTCGTAATCACTTTTACTACACGTTTCTTTTGTAAATTAAACGTGCCATTTTAACCACATTTCCGCTGATAGTGACAGGATATAAGTCAATTTTATCACTGCTTGTAATTTATTCGCTGATTTGTATTATGCCGGCTTGAGAAAACATATTGCCTTATTAAATTCCGTAGTTGTGACACAATTGACCTAGATTGAATAAGATAACGTTATAATTTTCTGTAGGAAAATAGTATTTCCGATTTCACAAACGGAACGGAATGTAGCTTTATCATTATATATTAATTCAAATGCTTATATATATTAATAATATTATATAAAATTCTCGTGTCACAGTTTTCGTTGCCATACTCCTCCGAAACGGCTTGACCGATTTTGATGAAATTTTTTGTGCTTATCCGGTATGTATGAGAATCGGCCAACATCTATTTTTCATCCCCCTAAATGTTAGGGGTAGTCCACCCTTAAATTTTTATTTTTATTTTTTGGACAAAATTTTTAATTTCTATTTTTTTATGATACAACATACAAAAATACGTACAATCCTCAATTTTCACCCTTCTACGGTCAACCCTTATTTTTTAATAGCCATTTTAGTAATTTAATCATTTTTCCTCTCCGGTCGAAAACTGATCAATCGTCATTTATTTAGTTATCCCCGCCGTCTACAGGTGTCACTTCTGACTCAGTAAACAGCACGGAGTAGGGAGGAGAACGAAGCCGGTCTCCTTTCTTTCTCACTCCCTACACAGTTGTCGGCCATCATTATTGTTTATGCATCAAGTGTAGTAGTAACGTTGACAATTATTATTTTGCTGTCTCAGTGTAACTCTCATATTAACTTTTAATCATTCCTATTTTATCAATAATAATTAAATTATCAATTTTGAGTGTATTTTGCACGATTAGTTAATCAAGTGATTTTATAACCTCAAAAGTACTCAACACGTGACACAAGCTTCCAATAACAACGGATTTTGTGTTGTAATTATACTTTTTTTTATTTATATCGAAAATGTTGTTGATCTTATAAAAATGTAATTTTAATTTAATTGTATTAAAAAATGTAATTAAACAATTAAGATTTTCATAGTTTACAAAAAATCAATCTTTATGAATCTTTATTTTGAAATGTCAATTGAAATATTGGTTGTATGAAAAAATTATAAGAGACAATGTTTTCATAAAATTTAATTTTTTACCTTTGTTTGAAAATTTTTTCCATAAAACTTATATTTTTGTTATAATTTCATAAATTAAAACTAATCATTTCAAAACTGCGGCAAAAAATCCTGGCCCTAATTATACTTTTAACATTTTTCATCATTAAATAATTTCATTAATTCTATTTATGTATGTTTTGTACAGTGAGCAATTCCAAGAAAACGCAAAGGGGCTGATTTAAGCCGCAGTAGAAGTAAAGCTCGAAACTTGCGAAATAGCAGATCCGAAAGAACAGAAGAACAAATCCAGCAACAAAATACTGATGCACGTGTCAGAATGGCGCAATTGCATCAAGAAGAGCCAGAAGATACACGAGCTGAACGCAATGAAGTCAGAAGATTAGAACATCGACAATCACTCCGTTTCACAGTCAGTAGACGAAGAACAAATGACCAACAACGACAACAGGTACATCGAGCATTTATATCTGATTCATTCCTGCGTCTACCATTCCAGTATGAGCCCGATATTGAATATTATGCTCATTCAAAAGTGGTAATTGGTGCTATGGACAAGGAATGTCCGCATTGTCATGCTCTGAAATTCAAAAATGAGCCAGCTGGGATGTGTTGCGCGTCAGGTAAAGTGCAACTACCTGAAACTGAAACACCACCTGAACCATTGAACGGCTTACTTATCGGCACGGATCCAGATTCTAACGTGTTCCTGAAGTCGAAGATTCAATTCATGTTTTCAAATGACATCGTTCGGAGCAACAGAAATAGTTCGAAATACTAATGCAAATGGTCAATAATTCAATTCTACATTTAAAATCAGAGGCCAAGTTTATCATAAAATGGGCTCTCTGCTGCCAATACCAAACGAACCACATAAATTCTTACAAATCTACTTTATGGGCGACGAGGATTCCGGAAGCGCACTTGCTAATCGCGTGAATGCACGTTGTGATTATAATAACCTTGATTCACTTTATGACAGGCGCATCGTCAGCGAGCTAGATGCTCTTTTGAACGAGCACAACGAGTTGTTGAAAATATTCAAATCACATATGCACCAATTACAAAGCGATAATCACGCTATCATCATTAATCCTGATAAAACACCAGCTGGAGAGCATATTCGTAGATTCAATGCACCCGTTGTTGATGATGTTGCTGGAATCATGGTTGGCGATTGTACAGCTGCACGAGAAATTGTGATTCGTAGAAGAAATAATAATCTTCAGTTCATTGCTGAAACACATCGTTCATATGACGCTCTCCAATATCCACTAAAATTCTGGAAGGGACAAGACGGATATTGCATAAACATAAAACAACGAGATCCCGTATCAGGTACTTCATTGATTATTAATTTGTCATTAATCATTTAACAAAACAATTAAATTATTGAACGTAATAAATTTAAATTAATTTTTATGAACAAATATTACAGGAGCTGAAACAAACAAGAACGTTAGCTCAAAGGATTATTATGCGTACCGATTAATGATTAGACGTGGCCTGGACAACGTCATTTTACGATGTCGTGAGCTTTGTCAACAATTCATGGTCGACATGTACGCGAAGATTGAGAGCGAACGATATAATCAACAAAAGCTGCGCGCGGAAGAGTATATTCATTTGCGAGACGCTATCAACAACAACGCCGACGTCGCCGAAATTGGTAACCATGTCATTTTACCATCATCGTACGTAGGCAGTCCACGTCATATGCAAGAATATATACAGGATACTCTGACTTTCGTGCGCGAATATGGACGACCATGTTTATTTATCACGTTCACATGTAATCCAAAATGGCCAGAGATTACATCTTTGCTACTGCCTGGCCAAAATGCAATACATCGCCATGACATTACAGCACGTGTGTTCAGACAAAAGTTGAAGTCTTTAATAAGTTTCATTACTAAATCACATGTATTTGGTCCCACACATTGCTGGATGTATTCGGTTGAGTGGCAAAAGCGAGGATTACCTCATGCACACATTTTGGTTTGGTTCATCGACAAAATCCGTCCTGAAGAAATCGATAGTATCATTTCTGCGGAAATTCCAGATCCATCCACTGACCAACTGCTGTTTGATATTGTTACGACAAACATGATTCATGGTCCATGTCGTACTCTTAAGAGTTCACCGCCTTGCATGGCTGATAGAAAATGTACTAAAAATTTCCATAAAGATTTTACCAATGATACGGTCACAAATGTCGACGGATACCCAATATATCGTCGAAGAAATCCTGAAAATGGCGGACAATTACTTATTAAAAATATCATCAACACAGACATTGATATTGACAATCGTTGGGTGGTGCCATATTCGCCTCTGCTGAGCAAGACATATAATGCTCATATTAATGTTGAGCTCTGCAGTTCTGTGAAGAGCATCAAATAAATTTGCAAGTATGTCCATAAAGGCAGTGATATGGCTGTGTTTAGAGTGGAAAATACTAATGTGAATGCTCCTCCAGTGAATAAAAACGATGAAATAACGCTCTACCACATTGGTCGGCATTAGCTCCAATGAAGCTGCTTGGCGTATCTTTGGTTTTCCAATTCATGAACGGGATCCAGCAGTTGTTCAGTAAGCCATCCATCTTAAAAACGGTCAGCGTGTATTTTTCACGAACGAGACAGTGATTGATCGTGCAATAAATCCACCTAAAACTACACTCACTGTATTTTTTGAATTGTGTAATCGTGCGGATGATTTTGGTGCCTTTGCACGAACATTACTCTATTCACAAGTACCACGCTATTTCACATGGACTCAAAAAAAAACATGGATGCCCCGCAAGCAAGGCTCACCAGTTGCTGCATGTCTCAATTTATTTAAATCAAACGCCTTGGGGCGATTACTTACAGTCAATCAAAGACACACGGAGTGCTTTTACCTTCGACTGTTGTTGGTTAATGTTACTGGCCCATTATCATTTCAAGATATACGTAAAGTGAATGGGCAACAATATCCAATGTATAAAGATGCACGTCTTGTACTCGGCTTGCTGGAAGACGACAACCAGTGGGAATGCATGCTTGCTGAAGCTGCATTGAACTGTACAGCAATACAAATTCATCTACTATTCGCTATAGTGTTGACTACATGTTTCCCAGCCCGATCACAGATATTATGGGAAAATCACAAAGATTCAATGACTGATGATATATTGCATCAACATCGTATACGGTGCCACTATCTAACCATAACATTCAGCGACGAAATGTACAATGAAACATTGATCGCTATTGAGGATCTTTGCATTGTCATTGCCAACTTACCACTTAGTAATTTCGGTATGATTTCGCCAAATCGAACTGCATCTGATTTAATGAATACTGAAATGAATCGTGAACTGCAGTACAGTACTGTAGAAATGGCAGCGATTGTTGCCCGCAATGTCCCACTAATGAATGAGGAACAAAGAACCATTTATGATCCCATTATGCTCGCAGTTTCAGCTGGACAAGGTGGGTTCTTCTTTTTAGATGCACCGGGTGGAACTGGCAAAACATTCGTTATTTCGCTAATTCTTGCTGAAATACGATCAAATAATGGCATCGCATTGGCCGTTGCATCATCGGGCATTGCAGCAACTTTTTTGGATGGAGGTAGAACAGCTCATTCAGTATTTAAGCTGCCACTAAATATTGAGATTAACCCTGACGCAGTATGCAACATTAAGAAACAATCGTCCATGGCCACTGTGCTGAAACGGTGTAAAATTATTATTTGGGATGAATGTACTATGGCACACAAACATTCACTTGAGGCGTTGAACAGGACATTGAAAGATATTAAAAACAGTGACAAACTATTTAGCGGAACTCTGTTGGTCTTTTCAGGTGATTTAAGACAAACACTTCCAGTCATTCCACGTTCAACATACGCTGATGAGATCAACTCTTGCTTAAAATCATCTCCATTGTGGCGTAATGTTGAAAAATTACAGCTAAAAATAAATATGCGCGTTCAAATGCTTCAAGATCCATCCGCAGAAACATTTTCAAAACAACTCTTAGATATCGGTGATGGAAAAGTTGCTATAAATGTAACTGGATACGTAAAATTACCGACCGATTTCTGCACAATCGCTGATTCGCAAGATACTCTCATTGAACAAATATTTCCCGATGCACACACACAGTACATAAATCATGAGTGGCTTGCAGAAAGAGCGATTTTAGCGGCAAAAAATGTAGAGGTCGACAATTTACATCTGAAGATACAAATGTTGTTGCCAGGGAACTTGGTATCATATAAATCTATTGATACAGTTTGCGACGACAGCGAAGCAGTAAATTTTCCCACAGAGTTTTTGAACTCACTGGATTTACCAGGCATGCCACCGCATAATTTACAATTAAAGGTTGGATCTCCAATTATCTTGCTTCGTAATTTGAACCCGCCCCGGCTATGCAACGGTACGCGATTAGTCATTCAAAAATTAATGAAAAACGTGATCGAAGCCAGGATTTTAAATGGCAAGTTCAGAGGTGAAAATATACTCATACCACGGATTCCTATTATACCTACAGATGTGCCAATTCAATTCAAACGTATTCAGTTTCCGATTAGATTGCCATTTGCAATGACTATCAACAAATCCCAAGGTCAAACGATGTCTGTTTGTGGATTAGATTTGAGAACACCATGTTTTTCACACGGACAATTATACGTGGCACGCTCTCGAGTGGGTAAACCATCCAGTTTGTTTGTGTTAGCTAAAGATGGACTTACAAAAAATATTGTTCACGCTATAGCATTAAGAGATTGATATTGTTTAATAGTGTTACTGTCGTAATTGTTTCATTAATGTTATATAATTTTAAGGAATAAATTATAATAACTTAAAAATAATGTTTGCCTTTTGTTATTTTTATATTCCCTCAACGTTCACAGCGCTCCATGCTTATTTCACGCATATACCACATTCTTACATACGAGTACATACAATATACACATTCTAACATACATACATACTTACAATAAGTAAGCTAATTTTCGTCTACACTAGAAATTACTAGGTAATTATTTATATGGCAAAACAACGTTTGCCGGGTCAGCTAGTATATATATATATATATATATATACCCTATTTGTTTTATACATTTTATAATAAATTTTTCCTCTTTCTTCGACTCAAGCCATGGTAGCTGAGAGGCTACTCTCTCACTGTATATTTCACGGCACGAGAGTAACTCAAGTTCGATCTTTGCTGATATGTTCGACGGTGAAAGAAACATCGAGAGGGAATCTGTCCCTATTAAACAAAAAGAAATAAAAATACTATGAAATTCGACCGCCACAATGGATATTAGTTTTGAGTTTTGTTGTAGTTTATCAATGACATTATCAATTTCAAACGTTACACGTAATATTTAGCATGTTAATCTTAAATGAGAACATTTCAACTGTTTAATAATAGCATGCCAAGCGAATACGTAATACTGCAACGTGTAGGAATTTTATTAGCTATTTCAATTGTAATTGTGACACTCTATGCGGTAATAGTTATGTATTGAATCGCATTTGTCGTTCATTTCCTATTATTATTTTAGTGTTATTTAGATGACATTCTATTATTTGTTGCGTTTTTAATGTGTCTTCTTTACTTCGCCCTTTTTTTGTTCTGTTTGACCGTTTTGTTTGAACAATGTCTTATCGAAACAATAGAGCCAAAAAGTTATAATTTAAAATAAGACAAAAGTCGACTTCAAGGAACTAAAAATAATATCCTCATAATAGCCTCAGAAGTCGGTGCTTAAACACGGTGCATGACAAAAATAAACTCTTAATCAGATATATATATATATTTATATATATATATATATATATATATATATATATATATATATATATATATATAAAAATATATATGTGTGTAATATAACCCCAAGATCACAGACGTGACATAAAAAGCTACTTTACTTCATTCGGACAGAGTCTGCTAAAATTAAACGCTTTATGTGCCAAAAATACTACTAATGAGAATTTATCAAACATAATACAAAATATTATCAATTTTATAGCTATTTTGGAAGTCAATGCTTAAAAAAGCCTAAGTAGGTCAAGGCCCAAAACGACAGTGCGGGTGGGTTAAGTCAATATGGAAAATCAAATTTGGCTCCTACGTCAGGAAAGGGAAAGGGAATTCGTAATAGAAAAACTGAATGAAGAAATAGCAAATAGACTTTATTTGGCAGTAAGTCAATATAGTAATATGATAATTATTTCAGTTACTATTTAAATGAAGAATAAATACATTAGAAATCTGTTTAAAGCTAAATTGACACTAAATTTACCAACCTTGCATCATTTTTATAAAATCCAGGTTAGCCACGAGCATACAAACAATCTAATGATAAG